AGGGTTAGGAGGTTTCTGTAGGGAAGAAGCACTGCATTGGCTGTTGGACTCCAGAATATCTGTGTTATGGCTTGGCAGAAAGTTTTTCTGCATTTTGCTTGTGTCCAGAGACTTTGCCTGATCCTGAGATTAAGGGCTGTGGACTAATCTGGCAAAAGAAATTTCAAGGCAGTCTAATGTTGAGGTCATGGTATGGCTACTGGGGGCTTTTAGCCAGATTTATGTTGAGAATCAAGACCAAAGAGCCCACCAGAATGATTTAAAATGTGAGTTTGGCCAGAAAGGAAGCATAAACTTTGCAGTAAAGCCATAGACTGCAAGGATAAAGCAGAGGAGATCTTGCTTGTTGGTGGGGAGAAATTCCCACTTTTTTTTTTTTTTGGTACCGGGGATCAAACTCTGAATCTTGCACTTGCGAGGCTGGCAGTGGAATCACTGAGCTAAATCCCAGGCAATCAGAGGAGATCTTGATTGCTGAGAAGGACAGGAAAATAGAAAAGATGGCCTGAGGATATCACAAGAACCAGCAGACTCCACTCTTTGCATCCTCAAAATTGCAAAGTCTCTTCTCACTTTGAGAAGAGAGGCCCAGAGCACCATTTTCCAGAATGGTGGTGGCCTAGGAAAGTTGTTCCTTAGGATTTGGTTCATAGGCACTTAGCCCCTGCAGCCAAGAGAGAAGGAAGCCTGACTACTGCTCCAGCTGCCAGCAGACCTTGGCATCATCCATGTGGTGCTGGTTTTAGACCCATGCAGAATACAAGAGTTGTGGGGTCAGGAAGGCTTCCAACTAGATTTCAGAAAAAGGCCCAGGAGGTAGGCAGTGTGCCCGAGAGAGCAGTGTGTGAAGCTGTGTGAAGACGAAGGCACAGTGGAGACCCCAAATGTTTGGGGGAATGTGGAAACCAGGAACATGAATTGTCTGAGGAAAATGGCAAGGAGGGAGCAGAGATGGCCCAAGAGAGAAAGCATGGGAGCTACAACTACCAGGAGAGCTACAGGAGCAGAGCCACCCAAATCCTTTAGGGTTCACATCTTGCCACAGACTGCCTTGGATGCTGGACATGGAACTAGAGGACTTAATGTTTGGATTTTGGACTTGCTTTGGTCCTATTCCTTTGTGTCCTCCTATTTATACCTTTTGGAATGGAAATGTCTATCCTGTGCCATTGAGTGTTGGAAGTGTTTGACTTTCTTTTCATGTGTACAGGGGCTTGCAGCCAAGAATTTGCCTTAAATTTCTGAGGAGACTTGGGACTTGGACTTTTCGACAGTGCTGAAAATGTTAGGACTTTGGCAACTTTTAGAGATGGACTCAATGCCTTTTGCACAAAGGGATGTGCAGAGTCTTTGGAGGGCCAAGAGCTGATGTCAGCTATTTTGTCTCAGCAATGAGAAAAATAACTAAGACAGGGTCTGTGCACAATGTCCCTTTAGCAGCAGTCCGGGGAATTCCAGATTCTTCCCCAGCTTCCTAGACCCTCTAGGACCTCACTTCTCCCTGCCCACCACACTCCGGCCTTGATCTCTCTGGTTTGTCGGTTTTTGTTTTGCAGTGCTGGGAATTGTACACAGGACTGTGTTTGTATTAGATAAGCATCCTACCACTGGGCTGCGAGCCCCAGCCCTCCCTGGAGTTTTCTGATGTGTCATCTTCCCCTTCACCTCTGGGTCCTTGTCCACATCCCTTGCCTGGCTAATTTATCTTCTCACTGGAGCTGAGCCATCATCTCCTCCAGGAGCCTTTCCTGTTCACTTCCCAAATCCCATCTCAATTAGGTGTCCCCCCTCTGTCTGCAGGGCACCTTATGCTGATGCTTCCTGCAGCATACACTGTACTGCACTGAAGGGGCACAGTCACTGTGTCCATCCCTGGGGCCCGAGGCCTGATTTTGTGTAACCAGCACCTGGCCCAGAGCTGAGCTCAGGCCAGTGCTCAGAAATGTGTGGTATCCTGTTTAACACCAGGAACTCATGAGTACTGGAAAGGAAGGTACTGTTCCCTCATCAGCTATGATTCCGTTGGCTGGGTCTTCCTGTCCTTGGTCTTGCTGTTCCTTTCCTAGAACTTAAGATCATTATAACGAATCATGTGTGTCTGTGGTTGGATTTGACCAAGCTGCAGCTCCCTGCCAGTCTGTGAGCAACACACAGAAAAGGTGTGTGTACCTGTTTGGGTTTTTGGTGGTTACACTGGCCTTGGTACCTAACCCGGTGCCTGGCAGGGCCTGAACATGAGTGGATTTGGATTTGTGCCTGTCAGGATGATGTCTTTGGACTAGGCCAGCCCTAGATTGGTGGTTGCTGTGGAGACTTCTCTCTCAGGCACCTTCCACCTATTATACCCCAAAACCTTCCCCCTGCCTCCCCTTGCCAGCTTGCAACCTCAAAGTTTCTGCAACCACTTTCACAAGAACCGTCCACAGCCATGGTGGAGCAGCTGGCCACAGGCCTGATTGGATCTCTTTATCTGCTCTGCTCCAACTGCCTCTATCAAGACGGCTGCAGGAGAGCAGGGCTCAGGGCCCGCTCGACTGCCTCTGCCCCCAGGGATTCCTAGGAAGGGGGCCCTGGGCCATGTTCTCAAGATGAGAACCTGAAAGTGTTCAAGGAGAAGGGGTTTGGCTCATACATCGTTGGCTACACACTGTGGGAAAGCCACATGGATGGGTGCACGTGTGTCTGTGGACCGCTCTGAATCCTCTGCCTATAGCAAAGCTGGAGAAAACTCAGCTTGGGGCTCTGGAGAGCTGTACTGGGAGTCCAGCACCACCCCTGCTTGCATGACCTTGAGCAAGAGCTTGACCTTTCTGATGTGCTAACCAAGTCAGCAAAGGTCAGGAAGTTTCAGGAGGCAGGAGGGCGTTCTGATGAGCACTTGAGAGGTGTTGCAGGTCCAGGATGGGGTGGTGGTCAGCTGAGGGCAAGCACCTCTCCTCTCCTACCTCCCTTTTTCCCTGGCCTTATGTGAGACCATTTCAGGATGGGTCATGAGAGGCATAGGCTGGTTTATTAGGCAGAGTTAGAAAGTAAGAGAGAATGGGAAGCGAGTTAAACTGAAGAAGCTGAAGGGGGCACCACTCTGATGAAGAAGGTCAAATTGAAACGAGAAGGGGATCTTGAGATGGAGGGAGGAAAGGGAGGGAAAGGGGAATAAAAAGAATTGATACTTATATACTTGTACCTGCTGCCCACAATGAATGTAATCAGTATGTACTACAATCACATTCTAATACAATATAAAAGGAAAGGACCCGTTTTTAAGGCGTTGGAGTGAGATAGGATCCGGTTGATTATTATCTCAGTTCTGGTTTTGCAAACTTCATTCAGGAAAAGTCCTTATCACTTAACCCAGTCTTCATGAGATGATTGTTTCTGCGTGGGGCAGGATCACTTTTGTGGAGGCTCTGCTGGAATCCAAGACGACTGTAAGTTTAGGGAAATACTAGAGACTTCTGGGGATTCATGGGCAGTTCAACATTCCTATAAATCTCTTATCCCGGTGTCCTCAATCTTAAAGAGAGGTGAAATAGGTTATGTAAATTTAGGGGTAATCAGCCCTGTAGTATCAGCTTTAAGACAGATGCTCCCTAAATGTAGATGCCTACATGCAGATCTCAGCAGGGATCTGATCTAAACTTTTGAGTAATAAAGAAGACAGATACAAAATGAAGCTTTGTTCCTCTTTTAGTTACCCTTTGGGCACTGTAGGCCCAGGTGAATAGTCACTGTTCTTTTGTTTTTGTTTTTAGCCAAAGCAGATTGCAAGTCTGACTATCCCAGGAGAAAACACAAATCATGTTTTTAAATAACAGATTAAGGACCCAAGAGTCTGTTTGTCCTCTGTCTCTGTCTTAGGTCTGCCACTGGCTCTGGGTTCCTCTTGACAGTCTTTATGTCCATCTTGGAAATAGCTCTGAATGGAACCCAAGAAGTTGGCCACGGCGCTCATTTGTATTAAGGAAAGACTCTGCCACAGGAAATGTGGCAGAGAGAGACTGAGACAGAGACAGATAGACAGATCAAATCAATGAAACTTTTGATTCTTGTTTGCAAGAAGCATTGAGTCTGAAAGTACAGATAGGTAGGGGAGAGTGGAAAGTAGACTCCAACACACATGGCCCTGAATCAATACTCACTGTTTAAGAGTTAGTTTCACCCTTGGGTATGTTGCATGGTGTTCTGGAGTCCAGCTTCCACCCTCTCCATGCCTCCTTCACTTCACATAAGAATGAATATCTGCCCTACTTCCAAAATTGGATGGGAGAATACATGTCAAGGCTAGTAATAATCCTTACATAGGTTCTATGTTTCATAAAATATTTTCTCACATATTTAAAAACTTGGATCTTATAGAAAATCCGTAATATTACTGTGATTGGCATTGTTTTTTATTCCTGTCTGAGAGAAGAAAAACCCATGCAATCCAGAGTTTAAGTAGCTCATCCAAGGTCACCAAATGGTTAAATGAAAGGTCACAGATCCCAGTTAAGGACCAAGACAACAAATCTTGTGCTCTCTTTAATACTCTGGACTCAGACCAAAAGGAGATGCTGAGAAGAGAGGCAACATACAGAACACAGAAGGGCTCTCAGGGAAATGAGGTCATTATCAAAGACAATCATCCATCAGTCAGAAAGGGACAAAGGAGGTAGAGTTCTCCAGGGACAAGTAAACACTTCTCTTTCAGGAGTGTTAGAATGCTTTATAATAAATCTTACTCAGAAAAAGAACACTTTTGTTTCTCCTAAAAATACTGAGTATGTTTCTTAGTTTCAAAACCCACCTGGGCTGGGGATTTAGCTCAGTGGTTCTGCTGCCTGCCTCGAGAGTGCAAGGACCCGAGATCAATCCCCGGTACCAAAAAAATAAAACACATACCCACCCACTATGCAGCTGGCTCTCCCAACACACTCACAAGCTGCTGTGAGTAGAGTAGATGTAGTAGCTCTCTATGCAATTTGCAAATGAAAAACTAAAGGAAAGGAACCTTCTGGTAATCACTCTCCTTTACAAACCAGTTGCCACATTGCTAATCTCTTCACTGCTGCCTGCATCTCCTGGTTCCTCAGGGTGTAGATTATAGGGTTGAGCATGGGGGTCATGACTGTGTGGCTGACGGACACTGCCTTGTCCATGGGGAAGGGAGTGAAGGGTCGGGCATAGAGGTAGATGCTTGGGATGAAGATCATAGACACCACAATGATGTGGGTGGTGCAGGTGGAAGCTGCCTTCCTTCTTGCTTCCCCTGAGTGGGACCTCAGCAGCACCAAGATAACCAAGTAGGAGATCAGAAGGAGAAGGAACCAGATGATGTCCAGCATCCCACTGTTGGAGATCATGAGGAGCTCCAGGAGGGAAGCGTCCGTGCAGGCTAGCCTGAGTACCTGGGGAACATCGCAGTAGAAGTTATCCAGGACATTGGGGCCACAGTAAGGCAACGGCAGCATCAGAGCCAGCTGGACAATGGAGTGGACAAAGCCCCCTACCCAGGCTGTCACCATGAGTCCCATGCAGAGCCGAGTGTTCATGATGGTGACATAGTGGAGAGGCCAGGAGATGGCAACAAGGCGATCATAGGCCATCACGGAGAGGAAGAAGACCATGGCACCTCCCAGGAAGTGGAAGAAGAAGACCTGGGCCATGCAGCCCTCAAAGGAGATGGTCTTCTCCTCAGAGAGAAAGTCCACCAGCATTCTGGGGGCAGTGACTGAGGAGAAACAAAGGTCTATGACAGCTAGGTTTCGGAGCAGAAAGTACATGGGTGTGTGGAGCCAAGAGTCTGAGGTCACTGTGACTATGATGATGAGGTTTCCCACCACAGTGGTGATGTAGACAGTTAAGAACAGCCAAAACAGGAAAAGCTGGAGCTCCTCAGTCTGTGAGAGCCCCAGGAAGACAAACTCTGACACCCACGTGCGGGTCCCTGTTTCCATGGGGTCTACTCCATAGACAGAGAAAACAAATTACAGACAAAGATGCACGAAGTCATTACTTGCCCTTTAGAGCTCAGGGGCTCAGACCAAGCTCTTCAGGTCCATTTGTTAGGCATCCTTACATGCGGACCGTGATGCCAGGTGCTGCCTTGCTTCTGAAGAGTTCACAAGTAGGTGCTGGAATACACATTCATGAGATAGCTTAGCATCATCCAGAACTATATGCAACCTGCTTTTCAAAGACTAGTATTGTGATAGGAAGACACTTAGAGTCCCACAGATCTGGAGTCAATTTTAGATCTTCCATTTCCTTGAGATTTGTTCATGTTACTTATTTTATTGGTATCTCAGTTTCTGCATCTGTAAGGTAGGAATAAAAAGGCTTTCCTTACAGAATTTTCTGTGTGCTCAGATCGAGTATTCTTTACAGAATTTTCTGTGAGCTTAGGTGGAGTAACACACAGAAATTTCCTAGAATGATGCCTGGCACAATAAACTCTTGTAATCACTTTCATCTGTGACAACTTGAAGTCTAAAGACATCTTCTTCCAGGTTTTAAGTTTTCGTAGAACATTTAGCACACTAAAGTGTGAACAGATCTTTCTTGTCTATTAGAGGAAATATGCAGAAAATAGAAATGCTCTGGGGAAAATGCTGGTGTCGTAAAAGTAAACTGTCCATCAAACTGACTGTTTTTCCTCCACAATTCAATTGTAAGATTCTAGACGTAGGTCTTGATTTCACAGTTTATTTATGGCCAGCATAGTCAATACTTATGAGGATCTGGGGTGGCTGAATAGTTATAGGAAGCCAAGGCCCTGTGGAGGAACCTCTGGTCACAGGTGGATGCCTGGACTATCCAGTTTATTCCCACTCCCCAAGGCAGGTGCCCCTTCCTTGGGGGAGGCTCTACAGGACATAAGCTGGGAAAGAGGGCGGTGGGGGAGAGATTCACTTTTAAGAAATAGATGATGGGGCCGGGGATTTAGCTCAGTGGTTTCGCCGCCTGCTGCACAAGCGCAAGGACCTGAGTTTGATCCCCGGTACCAAAAAAAGAAATAGATGATGGGTATTGTTTGAAGGGACCCTTAGAGCAATTTTAGTTGTTACCAAATCTAAGGGTAGAAGAAAAAGAAAGAAGTTGAATGAGAAGAAAGGGAATAGGTGAAGTCAAGAAAAATTACAAGGAAGAGAAATGGGGTAATAGAATAGGCTAAGGAGGAGGAGATGGAAATGCTGGTGTTGGGGAGGGAATGATTCTAGCTAGAGAGACAGATGAAGTGAGAGAGAAAGAGAGGGGCAGGGTGAGGTTATGTGGTCTCCCTCTTTCTGTCTCGATCTTCCAATCCTCTCTCACCTGACTAATTACAATCTGTTCCCTATTTTTTCCCATTAAGTTTATTGATACACTTTAGATATGCAATACAGTTACATTCATCATTGGGATCTTGTACCATTGCATGGGTATCTTGGTTCTTTTTTTTTTTTCCCCTTCCCCTGCCCTCCCTTCACCCCCTCCACCCTTCCCTATTTACAAAGACTTTGTTTCCATTTTTTTCCTTTTCTCATATTTTTTCCTTTCCCTTCTTTCCTTTCCCCTGCCCCTCCCACTTCCCGTACCCCTTTAGACCTCTTCTTCCCATTTCATCTGTTCCCTATTGTAGGTCATACGTTCTCCATCCTTCCTTCCCTGTGTTTCCACTGTAATCTTCCTTTCTTGTTAACATCTTTAGTGACTGTCTAGTGCCCACAGCTTAAAGCTCAAGCTCTTCGAAGGTGCCTGTGGATAGAATCAGGATTAAAAAACCTACCTACATATGTGCACACAATTCCCTCTTAGCATTTGATACACGGCTGTAAAATATCATCTCCATATACCTTTCTTTTCTTTTCTTTCTTTTTTTGTACTGAGGATCAAACTCAGGACCATGCACTTGCCAGGCAGGCACAGTGCCACTGTCCATATACCTTTCTAATCAATATCCCTGGTACCCAGGGGCCAATTCATAGCCTCTACATATACCATCTATATGATTATTTCCATATCTTCATTAATAATTCCTGTTTCTTAAGTGCCTCTTGCTACCTTGACATCCTAGAAAAATTCAGATACCATCTTCTGTCCAGTTCCATTCTCCATTTCTCCCATAAAGAAGTCTTCATTTCTCTGGGTCCTAACAACACTTTATAGATACCTTCATTATAGTGCTTACCATTTAACTCTAAACTAGATTTTGAATTTAACAACACGGCAGGCCCAGCATGAGTGACAACAATTTTGATTTAGTAGGTGCTCAAACAATGTTTGCCAATTTAATGTATTAGCAGGTAATTATGTGACCTTGTGAAAAATTTTGCAGGATTTTCCCCATCGTTTTATCCTTTACTCTAAGCATCTGTCCTTTAAATCACAGAGGCAGTCACATGCATGGATGTTTTCATGTGTAACCTGAAACGTATGTGTTCAGTGTCACTTCCTCTTGTAGTTAGTACTTTCTGGATCTCTCCTACTCCAGACTCTCCCATCAAGTCTTTCACTTGTTTATGACTCCCATCCTCCAGCAGATGTCACTGGATCCTTCTTACAGCAAACTGTCCTCTCACCTTCCTTCAGCCCAGAATGGAGCTTCAGGTCCTACATCTTCTTGGAGATCCTCAGCTGTAGCTCCAGCTTCCCATCCCCTGTTCCTACCCTACGTGTACTACCAGGTGCAGGACCCTGGAGGAAGAAGGCATATCCTTGGGGAAAACTATTGGACAGGACTCAGGAAAAGTGCTGGGTTGATTACCACTGGGGCCAGGGAACAATGGGAGTTGTTAAAAAAGTTTCTCTGTGTCTCAAAACACATATTCTTTGAGAGTTCTTCCTTGGGGGCACAAAGTACTGAGAATATTGAAAATCTTAGATATTCATGGAATGTAAGATTTGCAGGTCAAGATCTAAGAGGGCAAGAGAGTCTTCAAAGAAACAGACTCTGAGAGTTGTAGCAGAACAGATTTCTTAAACTAGTGATTCTTACCTTTGAGAAGATCACATGGATGGCTTGTTAAAAGACAGATTGGTGGTCAGGCATAGTGGTTCATGCCTGTAATCCAAGCTCTTGGGAGGCTAAGACAGAAGGATCACTGTGAGTTTGAGGCCAGCCTGGACTACATAGTGAGTTCAAGGCCAGACTGAGCTACATAGTGAGACCCTTCTCAGAAAAAAAAAAAAAAGATTGGTATCCCAAGCCCTGACTTTCTCATTCAGAAGTTCAAAGGTGAGACCAAGAACTTGTGTCTGTTTTTTGTTTGTTTGAGACAGGGCCTAACTAAGTAGCTCAGGGTGACCTCAAACTTACAGTCCTTTTGCCTCAGCCTCCCCAGGGCTCGGATTACAGGTGTGCACCACCACATCTGGCTTGATCATCTGCATTTGTAGGAAGTTCTGTTAATTCTGACTCACTTGTCCCAGGAATCAGACATTGCGAACCACTGACTTGCTCATCATTACGTTGGACAGTTCTTTCTTAGGCTGTCATCACGCTAACGGATGGATTTGATTTATTTTTCTTCTCCTTCTCATTCATTTAAACTGAATTGATCTTTACTTAGCCACAGTCATAGATGGGGAATTGTTTGTCTACTACAAGAGAGACTATTTAATACCCTTCAACTGTCCTTCATTTTGCCAGCCAGACCAAATGGTTGATTTACTGTCCATATCCAATCCTACTCACACCATCTGTAAGATGCTAACATTCTTTATATGTGAATTACTAATCTCTTTAATACTGGAATTGGTATAGAAAAACCATATTTATTCTCATTATGAGGAATTGATGAAAACTGCATCTAACTGGCATTGTGAACGTGATGTGTTGTAGAAACTGTACAATTCCTCAGACAGAGCTCTCTTCCAGACTAGAGGGGAGGAAACAAAGATCTCACCTCTCAATGAGAAGGCTGTGAAATTCATATTGTGAGCAAGAGCATGTGGAGTGGGAGGTACTAATGTGGCCATAGTGGAAAAATACAGTATGCTACAAACAGTATTTTTAATTCCCAAGAAATTTTTTCTCATTCTTTGATTGCTTGTTCATAAAATGGCATCCCAGTTTTCTTTCATGAATGTAATACCTCTCTTAACTATCTGTGGACATTAATTTTCTTAAGTTGCCAGTACTGTGGCTTGACCATACCGGTACTGGTATTCTGGTTGTGATATCATACTGTAGTTGTGCAGGATATCTCTGTCTTAATCTGTTTAGACAGCCACAGTGGCACACCAAACACTGGGCAGCTTATAACCAGCAAACATGTTTTTCTTACAGTCTGAGATCATGGTGCTAGCAGACTGGATATCTCCTGAAGGTTAGCTTTCCGGTTTACAGACAGCTGACTTCTTGTAGTATGCCATGGGGGAAGGAAGAGGGAGCTCTGCAGGGTCTCTTTTATAAAGGCACCAATCCTATTTACATTAGGTGACTTAATCACCTACCAAAGGCCTGTCCCCCATTACCATCACATGGTATTAGGAATCGGGGGGGGGTTTTGTTTTTTTTGTTTTGGTCCCTGGGATCGAACTCGGGACCTTGCGCTTGCAAGGCAGACGCCGGAACCACTGAGCTAAATCCCCGGCCCAGGAATGAGGTTTTAACATGTGAATTTGGAGGGATGTAAACATTCAGGCTGCACCTATTAGCTTCAGGAGAAACTGGGTATAGAGCACATGAGAGATCTTTTTCATTATTTCTTACAACTTCAGATAGATCTACAATCACTTCAAAATAAAACACTTGGCTCAAAAAAATTTTAGGAAGTTTTCTTCTTTTCCTCGAATTGCCTCTGTTTGCTTGACGTTTCTTTTTTTCAGTTTCTTGTTTCATTTTAGTGTTTGTCTTTTATATTGGAAATTTTCTTCATCTGTCTGATGGTCCCTTACTATCAGTGTTGAAAATCAAATCACTAAAATGGGGCAGGGTTTGAGAAAGTGCAGGACTCACTGCAGCTCGTCAGCT